CTGCCCTTGGCCAGGAGCTGGGGGAAGGCGGTGTGGCCGCCACCGCGGGTCGCTCCCTGGGATGGGGCTGCCCTTCCAGACGCTGGTGCGGCTTTGTGTGCTGTCGAATTGCTCAAAACCGAGTAATTTTAAGTGTTAATTGCAAACTACTGAGTTATTTTAATTCTTCACGTGACTGTAAATCCTTGCTTATTTTGAAGGTATTAAGGATTTGGGCTTTTTTGTTTGTTTGTTTAAAATTTTTTCCTGGCTGGTTCACGCTTTTAATTATTTTTTTTGGTTTTTGAAGTAAGTTAATGTGTTTTGTAATGTGGGTGGGGGGGCTTGTATTCAGATCTTACAAGGCATAGAAATTTTGCTAGGTGTAGCTGAGCAGTGGAGACTGTGGCCACCTCCTGTCTGGGGATGGAAAAAGATTTGGCAGGTTTTGTATCTCCAGGAATCCAGAGGATGGCCCTAATCTTCCCCTTGGCTACTTTGTCAGGAGATAATTCAGTCAAATTAGTTTTCTGGATGAAGGCAGATAGGGACCCATGGAACCAAGCTGTGGCTTGATCTGGGAGGCCTTGCCAGCATTGCGTACGGTGTTCTTCTGAAGCAGTCGTGACAAAATCGCTTCTGTGCGGTGTGATAAAGAGTAGAGCAGTCATGGTTGGTCTCGCCTCATGTTTTCTCTGTGAACAGCAAACCGAGCTGTGGCTGGGAAAAAGGGGTCAGAGTCGTGTTCTTTGGATGCTGGTGGTTCCACTCACCTTTGTAGTTGCTCTTTGGGTCAGTTGTTTTGGGTCCTAAGGTTGAGGAAGCTCTTGCCATCTTTTTACCTCCTTTTTCCCTTTGTGTGAACCACGTGAAATCAATTATCATCTTCAGAAATGAGCTCCTCAGACTTGGGCCTAGACAGAAATTCCTGGAGCATCCTCTGTGTCCCTCCAACAAGGTATTTGTGTCTCTCTTTCCATGCAGTGGTTACTGATGTGACTCTTCTGATCCCTTTCTGCAACATCCAGGAAATGGAAAGAGTCTCCACCTATTCTGTCCACTTCTTCCATCCTGTGAAGAGGAGCTGAGCAGCAGCAGGAGAGGTACAGGTGAGATTGGACAGTGAAATCCATGTTTGTGGGTTGGACAGTTAATGGGGGTAGCAGGATTGATAGGAAGATAATGAACGGGGTTGTTTAGGATTGCACTCAGCCTAGAAGAGGAGGGAAGGTATGGAAGAGGAGCTTCTGGGAGGTCAGTGCCACCTAATATCTGGCCAGTATAATTTTGGGGAAGGCTTTGGTCAGTTTAAACCTTGAATCAGTGTATGCTGCTTTGAATGTCAAGGAAACTTACCTGTAGCATCAGCACTTCGTAACTGAGTGGAATGAAAATGGTGGAAGGCTTTAAATGCCCACAGCCTGTCACTCTTAGTTTGTCCACCCAAGCAGCAGTACAGCTGCTTCCCGTGGATGCCGCTGAGCCCTGCCTTCCTGGGGTTGATGCTTTCATCCTGTGAGTACCTCTTGTGGGGAAGGTGGTAGATCAGTTTTATGAGATAGATGCTGAAGTGTTGAGTGATTGCAGATATTAAGATACACTTTGGTCTTGTAGTTTAGGGCTTTCCATTATTACCAAACCGACCTTTAGATCAAGACATGCATAATTTGGCTGCTAATCCTTAGTGCCAGATGGAATTCTTTTCCATTTTTAAACAACAGAAGTAATGAGTCATTACTCAGTAGTAACAGAAGCAGATTGCTTACACGTACAGGAGACAGGGTTTTGGAAATCAGCAAAAGGTCATGGAAAATCCACTGTTTTCCTCCTCCTCCTCCTCCTTTTCCCACCCAGGGCTTCTTTGTATTGAACTGTGAATGCATTGAACTGCTGAGATGTCCAGGTTGGGTGAAGAATTGATGAAAGCTCATTTTATTTGTTATGTAAAATTGTTGTTGAAAGAAAGCTTAAAATGGAGCCGAAAGAGTGAACTGTGTGTGAATTTTGTGATGCTGAACTAAGGCACCTGGTGCAGCTGTGAATTTCTTTTGCAACACTCTAGGATGAGACTATATGAATAATTTTTCTTTGATACATGGCATGCATATAGCTGTTGGGTTTTCAACCTATATCAATAATGCTTTCTGCTCATTAATCATTTTTACGACTGTTCTCTGCAGTTTCTCGGATTTCTTAATATCCATCTGATAATTGGAGTTTGGAAGGTTAACTGTGCCTGGAACAGCGAGTTCATTTGAAAGCTGTCTTCATCTCGCTTCACTGAATTTTCGTGGCTGATGCTGTATATTGTGACAAGGTGGTGGAGCTCAGGGGTGCCTGTGAACCTGTGACTCATCAGGCTTGCAAGCAAGGGTTCTGTGCTCAGGAGACTGGGCATAATCCGAGCCTAGAAGAAATTGGATATAAAACTGCTTGTCTTTTTCTGGTAGGCAAGAAGGCCCTGGGATCAAGGAAGCTTTTTCTAAGATGTTTCTTTTTAATGTCAATGTGGTGGAAGCTAAAATATCTCGAGTGATTAATGTATAATGCAGTGATTTCATGTATTCATAGTGTCATCAGCAGTACTGTGGGTTGGAAGGGAACTCTGGTGATGTGGTGCAACCCTTTCTTCAACTGGGAGTGCTGCCAATACTCGATCAGGTCGGCTGTGGCTTTCTTGAGCTGACTTCTGGAAAACTCTCAAGGCCTGAGATTTCACAGCCTCTCTGGGTACCGGTTTCAGGGCTGTACCAGCCTACCAGCGAGAGTTTTTTCAAAATGCAAGCCTTAACTTCCCTAGCTGCAGTTTTTTGCCTTAGTGCCTTATTTATCACTACTGAGAGGACTTTGTGTCATCTTCGTAATTACTCTTCATAGTGCTCCTTTAGATCGCCCCATAGTGTTCCCCTTGCTGCAATAACCAAGCATACGTTCCTCAAAGTTTTCTTACTGGTCGCATGCTTAGTCTC